GAATGCAATTTTGTTTTAAGAAAATAAAATTAAAAAAATAGAAATGATTTCTTAAAAGAGAGTGTACTAATTTATAACATTTGTCCTCAACATGTTTTATTTCAATTATCAATATCAAAATTTATATTGATACATGCCAAATGTTCTACTCACATGAATACTTTTAGTGACGACTATATATGTCACAGATTTTGCCGTGGAGTACAGACGCCAGACATGTCGCCAGTCATGACCTTAAAAAGCTTATTTCGAAGCACAGAGTGGTGATTATTTTCCTCCATGCAATTGTCACGGAGTATATGTTCTGACTTAAAACAACAACAATGCATGTTCATTTTTTATCATCCAAGTCATATGTGTTCCACATTTTGTATTACTTTCTTCGCTGTCTAACATAGACAAATCTTATCAATCATCAAAAGAAAAAAGAAATAAACTATAGTACTGATATATTTCTGTTTAAAAACTGGAAAAGTAATTGGTAGTGGCACTTCCTGAAGACTTTTGTCGGTACAAAACATATGGGAAGTACCTGGTTATTTAACATAGCTACTGATAGTTAAAATAACATTATTTTACACTACTTATGTTTCTTTAAAATCAAAACGACCGTTTGCTTTGACAACATTTATTCATTTAAATTGCTACCTACTAAAATGAGTTTTTAAGCATGCCGTTAATTACAACAACAACAACACGACAACAAAACCGGGATTCCCAACAAACGCCTAAACCGACAAACTTTAAACTGGTTCAGTTTCGGTTTAATTAAGCCAGTTCATGGAGAGTACTGGAAAGTGCAACGTACCGTCCACGCCTCCTAGCAACGGCATAAGCAGAATTTTGAAACATTTGCAAGTAAGGCCATATTTTGGAAACCTTGTGTGTAACATTAATATGGGTATGGGTGAGATAAAGAAACTGTGTTTAATAAACGAAAACAACAATGGATAAAACTAATCCAAAAGGATCAGTGGTTGTGAAGACGTCAAAAGACAAGTTTAAAAAGTAGAGAATTTCAAATGACGATGATTACTACAAAGCTGTGATAAACAAGAAGTTAAAGCGTTTTAAAATACCAGTGCTGTAACACATTTTATGGACAGTATAATAAAGGTCTGTTTGTCAACTCTTCACAGCACATGTATCTATATTTATAATGAAGCAAAAAGGCCTTCAGACATGTCGTAAACTGGGTAAGTGGACATCGGTAAGTGGTCATCGTTGCGTGTCAAAAAGACCGTGACGTCACTTGCTAAGTAGTTGCATGAAAAATTCTCGGAACGAAAATGGTTTTACAAAAGCCGCTACTTATACCTGCAATTGATTGACATAAGTTGAAATACTATTACTGCCTAAATAAGTAAAAATGAAACTCGAAGTTAAAGTTTTAAAGCATCAGAAAACTTTTTATATAGCAGATATATGAACAATTTTTCTTAGACGCTTTATTATAATGCTATATATGTGTTTTTGGTATTCTTAGTTTTAAACCGATTTTACGCATGGTAGCGACGTTACTTTTAATTTTATGCTTCAGTTATTTTAGTTTTAATTAGTAATTTTTTGCTTAGACACCCAGGAAAGTTTCAATTATTTGTACATATCAATATGTTATTTGTTTTAATCTTTACTTAGTTATGACATACCTACTCTTAGCATCTGCATGTATTCGCTATCATATAGTGAACTCTAGCAATCTTTATTTCCTTTTGCAAGTTGTAAGAATGTTTTAGTGTCAATTACTAAAAGATAAGAAATGGATATAGAAATACACTGTTAAATAAAATATTTGTGGCCGTTAAATAGACCATTTGTATCATTGATGTATTGAGATCATTTACGTTTAAATATACATGTATTATAGATGTATAATCTTACATGTAACTGTCTACATTATCTTTATTTGTTAATCATACATTGATTAAAAAAACCCTTTGATTGAATGTATGATGGGATATATCGAAATGTATATTTTTCTTCTAATTTTCTTTCTTTCTACGCAGTTCTTAACTGTATTTTGCCTACAAACATCATAGCTGTAAAGATGTACCTTGAGCTTCTTTCTTCCTGATCTATATCTGACAGGCTACTTGTTATTCTTTTCATTCGCCGATACGAAGTTTTGCTAAAGTGAAGTTTACGTTTTGGCTTCCTGATCTATATCTTTGTTTAATTATTCCCTAGTTTAAGGTAAACTAAGGTAAACAACATATTTAAGTTTGCTCTACCTAAAGAGGGTACTACAGTAGACAAAAAAAAGCCATCAAAATTCAATATGTAAGCTACCATCTATACTTTATTTTTGAATTGTGATTATAATTAAACATCCTTATTTAAGGTTATCATAAACTTCCCCAATAAATCTATATTCCAGAATAAAAATAAAGAACAACGACACCAATAAATTTATGCCTTACGATGTAATCAAGCGTTGTCAATTATTGTAATTGAAATTGTCTTCGTTTAGGATTTATTTATTTAAATGTTTAATTCAAAAAGTGCAAACTAATTTAAAATTATCACACCGGTTTCCAAAATCCTTTTTGAGAAAAATATAAATGTTTAAGGAGTGAACAAGGAAAATAATAGGAAAAGCAACAAAAAATTAAAACAACACAACTATTATTAACTAAATTATATGTTCTCTTATGTACAATTTAATGGTACTTTTCATGTCAAATGATAGACTTGAAGTAGCCACTTACTTAATTGTATTTATACATAGTCACAACATTTCATATATATTAAATGAATATTGATTTTTTGGTTCTCACACACATAAAGCACAATAAAGTTTCAAATATATTTGTACTTTTTTATATAATGCCTTTTTCTATATCTAGATCTAAGTAACAAAACTAGAATCGTTGTTTTATAACATTTTGGGGTTTATATGTTTAATAATAAAAACAAAACAACCTAGCCTCAATACAGCAATGTGTACATAGATAAGTTTTAAGACAACGTTTCTTATCTGCAATATGATCAACAACTTACTTACATATTTTGCATTGTTTATTTTCTCTATTTAGAAGGAGGACATTTGAACAACAATTTTATCTACAGCATTATATGCCCATGATTTGTCACGTCAACATTTGTTGACCTTCTTTCAAAAAATAGCCAAAAAAGGCTTCATTGTTTACTTTTTTGTTTTTCTTCACGTAGGTATTCAAATCGTTCATGTCCAACAATAATTTTCTAGGTCGTCTAATGCGCTTAAAGTTATAAAACATAATGCAGTGAAATGATAAGTGAAATTCGTATGTACGTATAGTGCTTAGCCACTCATGATTTATTTAATTGTTTATAACGTATTGTTCAAAAATCTCACTGACTGTTAATGAATAATGTTGAAGCTATCTGTGCGGTGCGGTGCCCCCGGGCGAACGAATCTAGCCAATATTTCATTGATTACCATGAAAACAATTATCAATAATGCTCTTTAATGTGTGTTTTTAGCTTTGCAAAAGTATCATAACACCCGTGGTTTCCGCCAATCATGAAATAAGTATTATCATACCATTCGATGAAAAAAACATTAGGTTTTTATAGAAAACGGCTTAAATATCTTCTAATAAATATATTATATGACTTTATGAACAAATATTTAAAATAAATTATATTGAACTTGACCTTTTTCTGTCTTTTCTCATATCATAAACTAACTATTTAATGTTTTTTGTTGTTGTTGTTTTAAATCAGAATATTTGTTAATAAAATACAGAACAGAATGTTTTCTTTTTAAATATTCTTTCTACATGCAAATATACACAAACTGTGCGTTTATCGTGTAATATACTCGTATATATAGAGACCATTGCATTAAGGACAATATTTCAAATTTTAAAATTGTTTTTAAAGAATTCCAAACATTTGGACTATAAAATTAAGTCCTTGTGTCCTTCACAGAAGAACCGAAAGTGTATGTTATTATGCAACAAAGTCACTGTTGACGTTCGATATTTAGACATGTGACGTTATCATTATACATGTGACGTAGCCAAAAAAATGCGACGTGTCGTTCGGATGCGCATCATTATATCACGAGGGTTACGCCCTCGTGATATAATTCCTCGCATCCGAACTCCAAACAGTGATGTTATTGAGCGATAAAAGCACTGTTTCGGATATATTATTTCTTAAATAACACAACTGTTCTGCCCGCAACCAATGGCTCTAATTGCAACCAGTGAACGGATGTGTGTAAAATTTAAGTCAATATTTACAAAGTTAAACGTTGCAACGGGTTAAAATTACAGCGTCATTAACATAGCAAAACTTTGGGACAGAATTTGTATCAATCAACTTATTCCATATAAATGCACTTTCCTGTGGTGAAATTTTGTCTTTTGATTACATTTAATTTCAAAAAACACTCAAAATGCAATGTGGGATAATATAAAAAAAAAGATAACAATAATAATTATTGGACACACTACAATTGACAACCACACCGAGTTATAAATGGATATTACTAGTTTGCCTAATATTTTTACTTTTTAAATTAACTATAAATCGACAGGATGAATAAAAAATAAAATATCATAAGAGTGTCTGCTTAAAAAGGACTATACATTAAGAAAACAAAATCAGCATTACTGTACAGCTATAAAACATTTAAAAGAAAAATATAAAAATAACAATAATTAGACACATTAGAATATTGACAACCTCACCAAGAAATGAATTAAGATTACTGTTCTGCCTATCCTATCTTAATTTTTTATTAAAAGATCATGTACAATGTGGTGTACTTTTAACCTTAAAGGCAATATGAGTAAAACTGATAATAATTATTTTATATATCCAAGGCTTTGCTTCATTAAGGTCATGTCTATGTCGGTCATTAGGTGTTTAGCTAATTGGAAATTGTAATAATAATTCGAAAAAGTAACGTTGTAAATTTTTGCTAAGATATTCTAGGTATGACGATTGACAAGAAATAAGGAAAACATTAAGATAAAAAAACCCGCTTCTAAAAACAAATACCAAGCTATAAAAAAACAACACCAAAACCAAACATTATTGTATGCTATCAGTTTATCTTTCCAAATTGTGTGGCAATACTTATTTTTGCTATTTCATTTGTTTAATATCCGTTGGTTAAGTACAGCTAATTTGCTTTTTAGATTAATTAATCTTGTTTATCATTTCGCTGTAGCGATGTTTCTCAGCTGTTTCTGTTCCTGGTTTGTATCTTACTTTTTAAATTTAATTGTACTAACAATGAAGTTAGTTTGTTTTGATTAAAGGAGTTTTGTATTGCCTATCATAAATCTGCACTTAAAAATACAAACGTTCAGTTGCGCGTAAGTTATACTTCTATTTCATATAACAAGATATTCGGAAATTCTTAATATTAACAAGTACATGGAAATATGTTTATCACTTGATAGGTTCCACATAATGTATATAAAGTAATGATTTCAGATAGAAAGACGTACAAACTACTCTACGGAGAATAAGAACAGACAACGCAAGTGAGATCGTCTCCGGTTTTGTAGGGCGGGCATTTCAATGATCCGCATACAGCTCGGACAAAATGGAACAGCTTTCCATTTTCATTACCATTCACGGAGTTACTTGTTTGTTCTGGTTCACCATCGACACAAACATATTCTGATGCAGCTTTATGTTTAGGATGTCCAGCCATGAGGTATCCTTCGTATTCGACTTTATATTCATCAAAACATGTATTTTTTCCTGGAATCATGATGATGTTTGTTCTTGGAACGCGACAAACTGCACATGGAACCTCGTCGTTTTTCAAACTGTCAAACATGGTATCATAACTTTCGTACTCTGCGCCATAAATTAAACCAAAGTATTTTGGTGTCCGCGAATGATTTTTCCAGTCGGGATTTTTAGGAAGACACAGATAATTTGAAGCTGCACCGGTTTCATGGTACATTCCACCAGCTGCATAACCCTGATAAACTAAAGAAGCTCCGTCTGGGCAGGTTTTTCGCCCCCAACGTGTGTAAGTATTTGCCACACCATTTTGTCTCACCTTTTCTTCCTTTTCATCTACACCGGTCTTTGCACCTAAAAAAATAAGCATTACCTTGTTCATGCAAATTAAATACAATTTAACAAATATTAAATACGATTTTCATAGGTATCAATAGCTTAGAGGGTCAAGGTTTGTTCAAAGCTGTGTAAACCTGTACCAAAAGTATATTTTTTACATTTTAAACCATCTCTTATTTAAGCCCGAGGCTGCCCAAATATCGATATATCATGCTATTTCCTTTCCTATGTCTTGATCAATTTTAATTTGATATTTGAAATTATTACCTTTTAGAGCGTCAATAAGTACAGCAATTTTTGCATCCTGAAGATCCAATTCAGCGTGATTCAACAATTTATTGACAGCTTCGTACAATGCAACACTCTCTGATTTTCCAGCATGTGCTTCGGAACACTGTAGAAGTCCTAGTACAATAAGAGTAATTTTAAAAAACATATTTGTCTTGTTTAGAACGAATGTGAAGTAAAAATGAAGTTTAAAACAAAGGTTAGTGTATATTTATGCTATCTGAGACGCTATCGTACCTTTACAATACACCGTGACGGACTTTAATTTGGGAACTTGAGTTACGCTCTTTTAAAGATAATTACATGTATTACCGTATGTTAAACATTCGTATAGGCTTACAAATAATGGTGTATCTTTCAAATGTATTTCTTTCATACATTTTGTTTGTAAATGTCTAATGTGTTTGTTCATTGCCTTTTTTGTATTAGTACCATATTTTTCAGATGAAGTTTTCTATGCATAGTGACCATCGTACCAGTGACATAATTGACAAAAATAGGTCAAAACATTCAAAAAGGACAATATTGTTTTCAATGAAACCTTACAATCGCATATTTTGACAAGATATGCTGAGTTGTTAATTTGTAGATAGATTGAATATAAATGATAAATGTGTAGCCCATATTAATGGTCGTTTGTAAAAATGTCAATTGTCAATTATTTGTAACGTGTACCGAGCTTAAATAAACGTATTTGTATTCAATATATTACATTAATAATTTTCCTCTAGGTTTCCTTACCTCAATGATTGAAGACCAATGATTTCAAAATGATTGGAATATAAATAAATCAACTTGATTTATACAAAAATTAAATAAGCAATAAACAATTTGTTAACAATCCCAAATCCTAGACGTGCCTAGTCTCAATGCCTTTCTAACATATTATAACGTCACGATGCATACCTATTATACTATCTATTATTCTATGCTCGCATTTTCTATGTTTCTGTTTTATTTATCTATAAACAATTATCCAACAAATATCCTGAAACCCGGTTTACTTTCTACCATATAAAAGCCTGCAATCCTCTCTAGTAGCGTTGCCCCCTAAGGAACACGGATAACAGACAATATATAGCAGGTATAACTTCAAAGCTCCCAGATTAGATGTTGACAATCTGACTTCCAGTAACCCAACTAAACTCACCTTGAATACCTCTGCTTAAATATGTTTTGCACAACAACGCCCTCTTACGGCTTTTTATGGCTGGCTTATCATATTACAATACAATTATACAGAAACGAGCACCTGCATAATAATGTTATATAGATCATATAGTCTGCATTACAAATAATGTCAATTAAAACATTGTAGTAGCAACTATTTAAACATTTCATTTAAATTACATCAAAGGAATACTCGCATTATTATTTACAACAAAATAATAGAAAAAAACTAACCTTAAAAAATAGTTTCTAGTGCAACGTATTGTTTACGTAGTATGTTTACCTCCAAATGGCGTTCCTGCAAATGGCCGTAACTCGTCATGATTGTTACATATTCATATTCATATATGCCTGTATTTACAATTGATTTTATCAACAAGAATTAATAAGATAACTACATATGTTACCATTGTGGTAATGAAAAAGTTCATTTCTACTAAACTGCTTATTAAGAACTATAAAACATATACATGTACAGCGAAAATCCTCAATTAATTAAGACCGCCAATGGGACTGCTCTAAAATGGTCTTAATCGCGGAATGATCTGATCAGAGAGCGTAGGCCTAATAGCCTGTCCAACTTCTTTATATTCTTAAACAATGTAAATGAACAAGGGACATGGATAAGATGGCATGAATTAAAAAGTCATTCATTTCATATAACTTTATTGCAATTAATCATTTTTCATAAAATAATGTGAAAGCATTTAAGGATTTTTTCTTATCTTCATTTTCTTTTTAAAAAAAAAAAACATATTTCTACCATGATGTTGGTGAAATGTTCACACGATAGCCATGCACATTTCATTTTTCTTCCATGTTCCTCAAATTATGTCACAACCGCCTCCGTGGTCGAGGGGTTAGAGTCGATGACTTCTAATCCAGTTACCTCTCTGGCGTGGGTTCGATCCCCGGAAGATGCTTTGGTAGTTTAGCGCGGAGGAAGGTAGTCTAGTACTCCAGGAACGATGTTTAGAAACTAGCCGCACATATACTTTATAATGTTCTAAAATTAATGTACAAAGCAACACAAGCCAACTTATACTTCCTTACAATAATGTCAAGTTGACTGTAGATCTGCTTCACGTTTTGAATAATGGCCTGGTTATAAAGCTGAAGTTTTGATATAGTATTGGCAGGTAGGTACAACAGTTTTGGATTTGATACAAGTAGTTTCACGTCATGACGATGAGATGGAACATTATCTGAAAACAGCAAAACACTGCGCCTGGCACATTTTATTCTCACATTAAAATTTTTCACCCATTATGTAAATAGTCCAATAAACATCAATGCTTTCTTATTGTATCTGCAATATACAGGTAAGTTTTCGTGTTTTTAAAGCACTTTGGTTTAGCTTATTTACTATCACTTGTGATTTTTCAAAAGTTCCTAGAGCAAGGCCATTAAACGATCCTTTGACTTTCCCCTGCTTTACAATGATCGTAGCGAGTCAGGGAAATGTACAAAAGAAAAGCCCTGTTTAGTCCATGTTATCAATGTCACATGATTTGTTACCAGATACTCTGTGTCTGGCAATCTCTGAAAAAGGTTATCGACTTTAAAATTTAAAACGTTCCACTCTGTTTATCTGCTCAAGTTTAGGTATCCTTTATTTACAGTTTTTGTTCATAAAGTCTTCAATAAGTTACTGGTGTAAATAGTTTCGCTTCATTGTGTTATTTTAGTTTTATTTCCGTTAAAGAAAAACAGTACGTTCTGTGTGTGCAGTTTTTATTGTGCACCTTTATTTGAATTTGCCGATTAAAATATAATACAAAAACTTGGCTTTAATTTTGAATTTTGAAAATTTTGTTATTCTAGGCCTGCTCAGATTTTGACATTTCATAACGTTATGCCCGATTTTGAAATGAAATATATTTATTTGGATATATAAGACATAAGATATTTACTTTAAATATACAATAGGGTCATTATGGATATGGTTCCCTCGCCTCAGATTCATGCTAGATAACGGGTTAAGCCAGTAATGAAATCACATTTGGTTTGTCATTTTTTCTCTAGGCTGTATAATGTTTTAAATATTTGTAAATTTTTAAGCAAAACTAAGAAACTAAAACAATGCATATATACTGACAGCTAAAGGATATTTTCTTTTACAAACACAGTTATATTGTTGTAAATGTTTTGTTACTGAGCAAAGGGAAAATACATTTCCTTTGAAATTTAAAGAATAAAACTGATTTTGACTCGAAATTGTACTGTTTTGTAATTTTGAACTATATCTTTATCTTTTCTGTATAAAAGACAATGTTAGCAATGTAAAAGACAAATGCGTTATATTAAACATGAAATAACATAAATCATGGTGTGAAAATAATGATAATAAAACTATGACACTGGCATGAATACGCATTTTATCAGTTTTCTCAAAAACGTACTTTTTTCCAAAACGATGTTAGAAAAATACTGTTAACTTTGTTAAAGAATTCTTCCTATGAGTAGCTATTTGAAAAAAATATTGAATATAATGTTTAAATTTATTACATGCCTGTTGTAGGGTCGTCCTGCCAATGCTTTTGACAAATAATGAAATTGTATATTTATTGTTGCTGTTCAATATACCACAATGTTTCAAGTCAAAAATACCTATTAACTGCGAAAAATAGACCTCTTTTAAGGACAATGTAAGCCCCAGAAAAGCATTTAAAGTTCAATTGCTATATGCGAACTGCATTAAACTCTACCAATGTGACAAAATGACATTGTTTTTTAGTGAATAAAAATGTTTTGTCTTAAAAATTTGTTTGTTCCGAGTTTTGTGGTAGCTATCTTCTTTTTAAATGAAGTTGTTGTACGAGTATTTATAATGTTTCTTAACCCAATCTCTATTAAATTAAATACTCAATCTTTCGTTGGGCTACATGTATGGTGCAAGAAAAATGAATTCAATATACAAATATTAGTTCATATTATTTAGTATATATATATTTGTTATGTATACATTTGTCAGAAAAGATTATAGATACCAGTGCATTATTTTTTATCTGCAAATTACTACAGGTATAAACAAGAGCACCGCTGGGCGGAGCATTATATGCCCGAAAGTATTTTTATTTAGTAAGGATGAATCATTTGTAAGACATTGGAATTAAATTAAGTATTATCTCCTTCAAAAAGCAATCTTCTTTTATAGCTGACGAACCTTCATATATATATACAGTTGTTGTTTCAAAAGCATCACCATCAAGTTGTTATCTTGTAAGTAAAAATGCTACGACGGACGGAAAGACGACAGGGGTATAACATAATATAAGCAAATTTGTTAGGGCATATAATTAATTTACTCAATATAAGTGGTCATCCTATGAAGTTTGACAGTTTAAAACTGTTCACAATATTAAGGTCATTTGATAATGAAAGAAATGATTTTAAAAATTGCACTAAACAATTAAAAACATCACGTGTTTATATTCGTAATAAATGTTGTGATGACGATGATTTGTGCAACAGTGCTAATGAAACTTGTTCTCATAAATTGATATATCATATAATATTATTACTGTGTGTATTAAGAATGCGTTCGTTTATAATCCTGGTGAGAAATTGTTGCACTGAAGATATCAGTTACCAAATGACTTATTTTCTTAATTATTTTGCTGTTGGTGTTCTATTTTAGGTTTCCGTTTTTTACTTTGAAGTAAACTTTGTAAAGTTACCCGTTGGCACATTACTTGTTTTTAAACGGTACAAGAATAATTCTGAGCAAATTTTTCTGAACAGGTAAGGCAAAGGTTAATTTACAATCAACATACCACTTCTTTATTGGAGAGCATATGATGTGATTTAGATGATTGTTTCATATTTTCACTCTCTTGTTGTACCTGTTATGATAATAATTGCTAGATTTCTTTACTTACCATTGGTCAATTTATGATATATATATATATTCTTTGTTGAACTATTATTAATATCAATTTCTGCTGTTTATTTGTTAGCGATTAATGTAAAATCATTATCGTACTTTCTATTGTGTCGTATAATGTATATTTGCATGCATTACTATTAAAAATATTAACCGTAAATATTGCTACGTGGTTTCAAATATATCATGTTAACATCGCAACATTAAAGCGAATAAAATGTTTATCAAAAAGACTAACATTGTTATAATAATTCTAAGCAATAGTCATTCATGAATCCGAATTTAAATAATTCATCCCAACCTCATAATTTCAAAAAATCTTGTTTTTTCTTGATATATTAAATATTCAATAAATTGTATGATGTTTAACCCGGTGCTTAGGGGTTTCGCTGTAATCTTATTTAAAAGTTAATCTCAAATGAAATATAATAAACTGATGTTGTCAAGTTTGCGCTTCTGCCTTACCTGTTTCAATTATTTTAGTGGATAACATTGATTTATATGTAAAATACATTATGCTCATTTTTCCAGTGTCAACTGTCAAGTTATGCTGAGTTGACTATACCTTTCTTAAGAATGGCTGATATAATGATGATTGACCAACAGTTGATATAACTAAATTATAAATCTGCCTAAAATATCTTATGGTCGTCCCAATCTTTTTATAATTGTTACTTTTCGATGGTTATATATAGAATTTTTCTTGTGCCATCGCCCGTGCGAAGTAAGTTATAAATTTGAACCAACAAGTATTCAAAATGAATCCCTCAAAAGTCTTAATATTGTAAAGACAATAGACAGAGGATGTAATGACAGGCCGTATAAATATATACGCTCAATGTGGACCGCCGTATTTGACTGGCAACTGATGCCTTCACATTGCTATACTAGTCGCTTAACAAACTCAATAACAAATTGCTTTTCACGAAGAAAATGCATGATATGAATAAAATATAAATAGGTGGATATATATAATAATTTATAAAACAGTCTTTATACGAATATATACCTATGACAGATAGGATTGTATTTCGGAAGTTTGGAAAACACTGGCAGATACATTTCAAATATCCACTTCTTATATTTTCAGCATGTTTGAAATTTGAATGTAAAGAGCATCAACCTCAAATATGCATTTTAATCATTTTTCTCTTACAATATACGAAAGTAATATTTATTTTGATGAAAATGCAATTCCAATGAGACACACTATTCCCTTTAAGGTCATTGACTGAATAATAATGATCAGATCGGAAACATAACGGCATATATTGTCAATAAAACACTTTTATCTGTATAAATTGTTGTTTTTATGTTATATTATAATATTTCTCATCTAAAGTGTTTGCCATTTTGTATTGAAAGAGGTTTATTGTAGTAAGTTATGAGGTAAATTGCGTCGTAATGGATCGAAACTAATTGAAAATATTGTGATGAAATAAAGAGATTTTTTAGCATTATTACATTGTATTAATTTGTGCATGTTCAGAAATATAAACAAGCGTTAGAAGTAAGAATTGCTTTTTCAATTTTCTACTATTTGCAGCATAAGATGCATTATGATTTTCTATGTGTAAAATTAATTGGAAATCATTTTAATTTAATATTACATTAGTCTAAAATCGGCTATTGACAGACTTATAAGAAGATACCGGAAATATAAGAGAAGATGCGATTAATTCAAGCATTTCACTTTGATGAATTATTATGCGTAATGTAATATTCTAATAGTTTTAATAGTTTCCATGTAATAATTAGTCATTACTGCACGAAAATAGATTTAATATCGTAATTTAAAGACATAAATAACATCGTTAAATTCAGTAATGGGCTTACACGAATTAAATATTCTATTTATCACATACCCATAATATAGCCCGTTTAAAGTGAAAAAAGAGTCATTTCTAATTGACGCGCCTATAGCTTAACGCTAACATTTAGCGCGTCTTTGCACTATGTTTATATAACGCTAATGATGTCACGTCAAAACATATGCACGGCCGTGCAATACCATTTTTACGGAGTCACAACAATCGGCACGGGTGTGTGATAACAAATATTAATCAACAGGATAGTGGAGAAACATTGACTCAAGCACAGATAAAATTTAATTGAAAAATGTCGATATGCACGAACAGGTACTACTCCTGATAGACAATTTTTATATAGATAATGTGAAGAGGTAAAAAGGCACAATGACCATTCTGTTTACTGAACCATGTTCATAGAGATATATTTATCTATTGCAATAAAAACAATCTGATTTAAAAGTATAATTATTGTATCACTCATTGGTATAATATTTGTCACATTTACATTTATGATATACCACATTAAATCTTGTTTTACTGTTTCATACAGTATTAAAGTATCAACATATACAGCTTATATCATGCTGGGCTCCGTGTAGATTGCCACGTGTTGCTGTGAATTGTTGGGGATTCGTTCATAAATGACCCCTTTCCTTGATGATCTATATTTATTTCTTGTCCGAATACATATACGAGTATAACACAATAAGCGTAGTAAAATTTATATACAACGTTTGAAAATTCGTACAATGGTTGAAATATCTTACATTAATATGGTTTTAATACTAAGTGTAAAAAACATGATTATGAATACACTTCATTAGGATTGATACGAAACCTTCTCTGTGGAAAATACACTTACTATTAGTTATTCCTGAAATAATAAAAGTCCATAAAATATATTATTATTTTGCTTTTTAAAGTCATATCTACTTGTTTAATATGAATATAACTTGTGACAAGCTGTTTCAATTGTAAAAAAAGATACCAAATACCTTTCCTGCAATGTGAGTTATTTTAGGACATTTGGGACATGGAATCTCATTCCTTTCTTTGTTTAGCCCTAAACTGCAATTGATTTTCTCTTTTTTGCATCCTAAACAAGAGGTTTAAGTATCAGGGATTTAATATTGAAATACGAAAATGGAGTTATATTACAGTATAAAGCCTGTTCAGACAGTACGAATGTCACTTTCTGAACCAGAGGGTTAGACGGTTCAGAACTATAGATTTGATCAATAAGAAAAGTCATGCTGTTCATGGCATGTAATCTTTTGAACACGATATATAATGAATAGGATATTGATAAAGATATACTTTATATTACACTTGACCAACACGATCGTATTATGCCAGAGAATGCCCTACTGGTACATTTCTATTTAAATTGTAGACTTTATTCCTATGACAGAACTTATCTGTATCAAAGTTTTACTTACATTAATACAATTTTAAAGAAAGAAAAAAAGGTAATGAAATGACGTTGTGAAATACTAAGTCTTATAGTGTTTTCTAGATTTCGTCAGTTTGAAAATATCAAAGTATTTAAGCAAATAAAATATAATTAAAAATTTGTGAACCATACATAAATGCATTCGAAATGGTAAAATGTAAAACAATTATGCGACATTTTATGGGAAAATAGGCTTACTGTAAATAAGTCTAGTAAAACGACTAAAGAAAATAAAAAACTAAATTCGTTCGTGTTCATTAATAAGCATTTACAAAATCTACGGTATCTAGAGGCTGCGCCGATCTTGATAGAAATTCAATTTGGTTAATGCTTACCTTCATTTAATTTATGTAAGACCGATCAATTATCGGGGAAATAATAAATTCTTTCTTATTTCTTTTTTATCTTTATTAGCAAAACATTACAAAACGTGAAATGACAGAGCACTTTTATAATTGACAGGTTATACGGCCAATAAGATACTTTTCAGCTGGCTCTAATTTTATGCCAACCAATGAAATATTAAACATGTTAACGTTATGATCATGTGAAAGCAAGACTATTATATATAATAACTATGATACCTACACTCAGTTTATAAAGTAAAGAAAGTACTGAAAGAAAATAACATATCAACATGAGTCTTCACATCGTCGTGTTTGGTGTTTTTTGTGTTGCTGTAGGTGTAGCATCACTTCATGGCTGTAACGATTTGCAGACTTTCGGAGATGTTAGAATTCCAGTGTATCAAACGTTTATTCAGACTGCGTTTGATAATCTTGTAAGTACAATTGCGTTGTTTTTTAGTATTTTTCTGCAGTAGACTCAATTCATAACACATTAGGAAAACCAAAGCTAACATTTTGAAGCAAGTTTGTAAAGTAAGTTTTGTTGTTTTTTTGTTGTTGTTTTTTTAAATATCCTCGTATTGTAACTGACTGAGAGCTCTTAATTAAATATCTATTAATTTTGTATGCGTCGTAAGAACAAAAATATATGTCTAACTGATGAAATAAGAAAAGTTTTTCCCCAAAATATATTGATTTAAAAAAGGAAATATGTTCGCTAGCTGATTACTCACATCTGATAAAATAAAGTAGAACCTAAGTTTGGGGTTAATTTTGTGATTGTCAATAAGAATAACGTGAAATGTCTTAGATAATGTAAATATATCAAATATTTCATTCTAAGGTTTTATGTCGCTTTTTCATTCATGAAATAGATGTCATCTTAACCATGTGTACTCATTGACATGTATCAATCTTACATTATAAAAAAAACCTTAAAAGTCGAGAACCCTGCATGTAACATTTTTGGAATAACAAGATACGCTGCGCATTGATCATGTTTTTGTATACTAAATTGAAAGCGGAACATCCTTCAATGTGTAAAAAAAACATGGGCTTTCCATTTATTATATAATAAAGTCTTAGCATAAACAGTATTTTATTTCATCCTTTAATACAACACTTTTACAATTTGATTACGTTTGATTTAATAGTTCGACAAGAGCATATTTTGAGCTTATAATGGCTGTTTAACTTGTTGTTTCTGGTGCGTTTGATTACAATGTCAGGATGTTATATAACTATTCTTTAAGAACAGAAGTGTTGTTTAGGTTGTAGATAAAAGTTTAAAAGAAGCCTATGTCTTGCTGCCTATCCCATCACCAATTACTGTCTTCACAAATTACAACTGTAGGATTACCAAGACCGATGACAACTACATGCGAGTCTGCAAAGGAATGTAAGTACAAAATCAACTTAAATATATCTACTTTTTTTAGAACGTTATCCACCATGACTTTTATATAATCAAATTATAACCATCGTATAATTGAAAATAATAGAAAAAAGCTAGTTGAAACAAATTAATTTACTAACTGGTTCTAACTGCTGAGGACAATGAAGCCTAAGCGTTTTATTTTTAAGAAAATAAGATGGCATGTAGTAATTGATGAAACCTAACAAACGTGGCTTTCAAAGTTTGCTCTATGACCTAAGTGACATATAACTATTTTGTAAACTTTTCTTAAAGTATTTATAATTAGCATAGTTCAAAAAAGAATGCATGGTTTTATTGCTATTAACAGTTTCACCAAAAGTGGAATCAGTCCGAATCACCATCATGAATCAGACTAGCTGCATGTTTTTTAAATTTAATATATTCATGTTAATTAACGAAACCATATTGTGTACGCTCCGTTCATACTCTACCCTTATGTCGATTCCTCTTTTTATTCGGTGCTTTGACTATATTTTGTTAGAGGCTGCGTTTACTTAATTGCCTTTCCTTTTAGAATAGTGTTCTCATATTGTTACTTTACATATATGTGAATAATTATTGTTGTCGTTAGGCGGTATATTACGATAACATAAAGATATTATTCTTTATCAGCGATCCAACCTGCAAGACATGCGTGGAATATAGCTTTCCAATAACTCTTGAGGCTGACGGAAACAGGATCTCATTTTCATACACAGATCCGAATGGTAAGTAAGTTACCAGAATTTCTGTTAAAAGTTTCTAGAATATTTCATGGGCAAATTATGTTGGTTTGTGGTTTTACCAAAGTTGGGACATGTAAGCACTCAAAACAAAAGGTGCTTAAGAATCTAATTTGTTTAACTTGACATTATGTTTAGCAGATAAACATAAATGTTTTGCAAATTGATAGTCGATAGATGAATATAAGATGCGTCAGTTGAACGAATTGATCCCCACCCCTACCCGTTGCCCCATTTTTCTGTAATTCATGTATCTTTTTTTTTTACCCAAAGAACTATTATTATTTATTAACTAATATTTTTTTAATAATCTGTTATTTATTAATTATAAACGATGCTCCCCGTTCTTTCACCGCCCTTGTACCAACTTTTCTGTTTGTAACGCTGTATGTGCCATGCTGAGGGTCCTGTGTTAAGTCGGTACTATTGGGTGCTGCATTTAGTGTATGTTTGTTGCTCATTCCTCACATATTTAAAGACGATTTGTGTTATGAAAGAAATATTAATGCTGAATGCGATGCAACTGTCCTTTTGCCAGTGTTTTGAAGCATTTGTTGAACTCGAGGATTTCAGTACTTCAAAGTTTACAATTAATCAAACTTTAGTGTCTCCTTGGCTCCTTGCCGCTGGTTCTTGTTGCTAGGTCGTGTGGGTGTTGCGTTCGTTGAACGCTGCCTTTCCTTGTTGATCTTGTTTATCATATTTTACATCTACATTAATTTTAGTCGTTATATTTCAGGACAAACGGTATATGATTACTACTGGTCTCCTTGTCCAAGTAAATATATGTTGAGAATACAGTGTCCAAGTAACAGCCTTCAACAAAATAATAAATGTGCACGGACAGGGACCCGAATAAGTATGATATTTTCCTTCTAAAGATTACATTTGTTGAGTTTGTTGATAAGAAAGATGAAGATTTAACATACTGTTTAAAATTTCATTCACAATGTTAAATGAAATATTATAAATAGTTTGCCATTAAAAATTTTATCACTTTTGTGTAAGTATTTATTTAACATTGTACATATTTAAGCCGTGTTTCTGGTGGGAGATGTTAACCAAAGTAATGCTCCATGGAATGATATGGCCAAGGAAATCTTCACTGCAACCGGGGTCAAGTTTGGAGAGATAGATGGCATGAATTGGTTTTACACAGAAAATACCGGAAGTAAGTGTAATTTTTATGTTGAAATTTATGAATTTTCTATAAAAATCAAAGGAGATTCACATTAAAAAGAAAAGGCACTGACCAATTACTAAACTTTGAAATGTTTTTTCTAGTGTCGTTAAAAGGAAAATTGTTAAGAAAACTATAAAAAATTCAAGCAAATATGCATGCTTCAAATAAATACTGTGGTTAGACGAGGGTACTTTATAAAAAGAACAACTGTCAAAGTTATATTTTTAATTTGATTTATTTCAGCTCCATGTGATATTTGTAGCGGATGAGGAGAAGAAACATAAGGAAAAACAGAATAACATAAACTCTAAAATCCTAATAATATTTAATAGCAAAGCAGTTAAGTACTGAAACCATAAAGAACGCGAAAATGGCAATATTGAATTTCTACCGTGATTTGATTAAGTCTTCTCATTGACAGTTATTGTAAAAGTAAATACAGGCTAAATCAATAATTTAACATGAAAATGGTTTTTAGAAGTAAGAATCATTTGCAGACATTAAACTTTTTTGCTATCAAAACATCTTGTTGTTTTTCTCCATGTCATTTAAATACAATATGTGTGATCCTACCCATTCTTTTATATGTTATATCACTGCCTTTCTTTCTTTACACGGGTCTGTTGCATTCATTGAACTCCGCCTTTCCTTGTTGATCTTCTTTATCATATTTTATAACTAGGCTTTGACCAGTTTTGTCTAGAGCATGATTCGTGTACGGATATGACAAGCTACCGTCCACGCCCCGACCACCGTCCTTAGTAGTATACAGCATTTTAAACATGTTATGGTGAAACTTTGAGTTTTTGAAACAGTTACACCTTGAGGTCAAAAGATGAATTGTCCATAGCATGTTTACACTATGGGTAAAATTGCGGATCCAGTACTTCAGACATTGTTTTTATTCACGTTACGAAATGTTAACGACATGAACATTTTTTGTGTCAGTATCCTCTTTCTAAGATTTTATCGTTTTTGTTCTTTGATTTTGATTCATTTTAAACATTGATTTGTTAGTCAACACAAGTAAAACATAATGTCAACTTGTACCTCGTTTTAACTTGCATACCTCACATTTTTATACTGTTCTGTGAGAATGACACCTTTGTTCACAAGTTGAACATGATATTAATACAAATTGCAAACATATTGTATAACAATTATGAAAGATCAATTATTCAATAGATGTTAATATTTTTCAGGTAGATAATTATTACCATGGGTCAACACGTAACATACAGAATGCACATTAAGATAAATCTTTTGGCTTTTCCTCATTTTGTTTAGCTCACGTAAGCCAAACGAATTCATGGTGTAATATTGTGCCCCCAACAGTATCTCCTCTGAATTCAGTTACTTGGTATTAAATAAACTACACAGAAAAGACCATTGGGCGGCCCATATCAAAATTCTTAAAATCGTTAGTGGTTGTTTGTATAAGTAGGTAACATGACAACAAAATGGTAAATGGTAGCTCAAAACATATAATGAAGAATTGTAAAGCTAGTAAATTTGATTTATATTTGCCATTCTTAGAGTATAGAAATACTCCACTCGACTGAGGCTACTTCCCTGCCCAATTATTAATAGGAAGAAGGTTAAAATAGAGAGAAATAAGAATCCCAAAAGAAAGCCCAACACGGCAAAATTGAAAATGTTGCAGGCTCGGTTTAATTGAGCCTGTTCATGGACAGTACTGTCTATTCTACCTACAACTCAAATACAGTTACTACATGAAAATAAAATAATCACAATTCAGAAATTCAGAAAATGGAAAAAGAAACCTGATCTAAGATAGAGAAAAACGGAATCCTTAGAGAATGCACGAATCCCCTCCTTTCATTGGCTTCAGAAGAATTAAACATTTCAACACGAAAATTGTGAAATTATTTAGAAACATCCGCAGATTTGTTCAAACGGAGTTATTATGGAACCTTCAATGTAACACTTTCGTGTCATTGCATGAAAAGTGGCATTTGGTTCCCAAGTAAAAAGAAAGCGTGTGCCCTAAAAGAGAAAAGAATGAGCGAAAGTAAACAAACGTTACATTACCACGGTGCATATCCATATCGGTACCCTCTTTGCGAAATCTGCTGAAACGGTACCCTCTTTGCGCATGCACAGGCCACTCTCTGCTAAAAACAAACCAGCGATTGATAAAAATCCAGTAAAAATTAAATATAATAAGGAACGAAAGTATAACACGTAGAAAAGATGCATACCACGGAACAGTAGGATGTTTTATCTATGTGCTGATTTGTCATGTGCCCGTTTTTCATGTTCTGCAACTTCACAATAAGCTACAAAAATCGACATGTCTTGCTTTGCCCGCCACCTCGACATATTTTTCGGACTGAAATGAACCTGTGGCTTGATTATATATGCATCATACATATTTAGTATGTTCATTTACATATCATCTTCGGACAAATGGCATTACATTGTCGGAAATAATTGTAAAATTTATAAAAACACCCTACTTTCGGTTTTGCAGCGGCACGGGCTACCTCTCTTCATTTGAATTTTTATATCACAGGCACTCTCTCATATTTTTTACAGATTGGTACCCTCAAGGCACGATATATGCTTTTTTTTGCGTTAATCGTAAGGTATGTAATATTTTAATACGCAAATAAAAGCATATGTCGTGCCTTGAGGGTACCTATGTGTTAAAAAATGAGAGGGTACCTGTGATATAAAAATTTAAACGAAGAGAGGTAGCCCGTGCCGCTGTAAAACCGAAAGTATGGTGTTTTTATAAATTTTACAATTATTTTCGACAATGTAATGCCATTTGTCCGAAGATGATATGTTAATGAACATCTAAATATGTATGATGCATAAACATTCTAGTGTTCCGTGGTATACATCCTTTCCACGTGTCATACCTCCTTTCCTTATTAAAATGAATTTTACTTGCTTTTTATCCATCGCTTGTTTGTTTTGAGCAGAGAATGACCTGTGCATGTACAAAGAGGGTACCGTTTCAGCAGATTTCGCAAAGAGGGTACCGATATGGATATGCACTGTGATTACGATAAATCTTCCCCCAAGTTTTGATGTAAGTGATTCGTGTAGAATTCAAAAAGGTAAAACATAGGAACAACCCTAGACCATCTTAATTCATGGCGACAGGTCATACAGTGTACGAAAATGCAACATTGTCGCAAAATACGCCCGTAACAAAAGATATAAAAATACCCCGAATAGCGCGATTTATTGACGGAAAAGGTTATTTAATTTGAAAATGTTTGCATTGCGAAATTCTCCAGTTCGATATTCATTATACATATCGCGACTAATTAATAATCAAGCACCCTCATACCGATCGGAATGATCGGCTTTTATTATGAACAACTATAGAAGGCTCGAGAAGTTGCTGTCGCCCTTTCACAAAATCTGATTTCATTACATAAAAGGCGCCGCGCTTCGGCGCGGACGCCAATTAACAGAGATGTGGGCATTATAGATATACATATAGGAGATATGCTCTGGGCAGTATCCGGAAAATGTCTGGATATTTTATCATCTCTAGTGACCTTGACCTTGCAAATTTTAACCTAACTTACGTGTGTTACACTTGTAGTCGTGATAGTTATTAATAATGTGTTACAAGCCATCAATAAATGATGATTAAATGGTCCCCGTACTCAAGCTTTGACATCTCTATGGTACCTTGACTTTGGTAGCAGGGATCTGGATTTTGTGCGCAATAAGCCACACAATGGTGAACATTTGTGCCAAGTTACATTAAAATCCCTCGATGAACGTAGAGGCTTAACCTGTGTGACCTTAACCTTTCACCAAAAGACCTTGTTCATGCACGTGACATTGCTTCTCATAGTGTTGAACATTTCTATTAAATTTAATTAGAATCCCACCATGCGTGAAGTAGATATGATCTGGACAAAATTTCTATATTTTATTATCTTAAGTGACCTTGACCTTGCCCGCAGGGACCTTAATTTTGCATGTGACGCATGTGAACATTTGTGCCAAGTTATATAGAAATCCCTTTATGCATATAGATTTTTGGTCAGGCCAGGCGATGTTTTATGTCCAATAAGTGTGACATTGACCTTAAACCTAGAAACTTGGTTTATGTGCGCGATACAGCTTCTCATAGTGGTGAACATTTGCATTAAGTTTCATTAAATTCCTATATGCGTGTATGACACGCTCTGGTCAAAATCTCAATATTTTATCATCTTTAGTGACCTTGACTGTAATATTAAGTGACCTTGACCTGCATAAATTGACTTCAATCACATGCTTACCACCAGTAGTCATGCTAATGACATTTTGTGTTTCAATCCCTCAATAAATGATGACAAGGACTAAATGGTCCAAATACACAATTTCATCAATTTATCTGAACTTTGAACCTTTTCTTTGACCTTGACCTTGGTCGCAGGGTCCTTAACTTTGCACGCAACACTTTGCCTCACATTGCTGAAAATATGTGCTAACTTGTTGAAATCTCACAATGCATGTAGAATTTTTGTCCCGACAAGATTTGTTTTTAAATTACCTCTTAGTTTTACCTTTACGTCTGACCTAGAAACCTGATTCATCTACGCGACACAGCTTCTCATAGTGTTGAAAATTTCGATGAAGTTTCATTAGCATTCTTTCTTGCGTGTAGGAGATATTCTCTGAAAAAAACATCGGACACCGCCGCCCGAACACCCGCCCGGGGTTAAACTAATACACGCCTGGTAACTGATAGAGATATACGGTAAATCTATGTTTCCTACTTCCGAGCTAGTGCATGTCGCTAAAATCAAGTGTCAAGTGTTTTCATTATTGTTATATTTGTAAAAGCTGTACCAAATATCGAAATTTGGAGAATGCTATGCCATGTAGATTTGATTAAAGTTTCCAGAAAACGTAAAGTTGTTATAATTGTGTAGTAGTGATGTAGTTAATAAATGAAACTTCGCCGCGCGCACCCGCTTATTTGCGTGTTTTCGTCCCGCGACACCGCCATGTGAAAAGTCTATAATTAACAAGTAGAAATGGCAGGGGCGCGGGACGAAAACCTGCTTATTAGAGGGTGCGCTCATAAGCGTGTTTTCACTCCGCGCCCCGCAGTTTATTTCTTAAATCTCGTCCCGCACCCCGCGGGGCAAAGTTTTATTTATCTAACTTCGCCCCATGCCCCCGCTAATGAGCGTGTTTTCGTCCCGCGACCCGCCGTTTTAATTTGTTAATTCTTGACTTTTCGCTTGACGAGGTCTCCGGACGAAAACACGAATGGCACAAATCAGTAGGCGTTTTCTGTACAAAACCCGGGAGAATTTTGCAAACGATGCAGATACATTTATCCCAGATGCACTCATTATGAGCAAAATTCTTTATCACAGTTAAATACAGAAAATAATGC